ACATATGAAACACAGCCAAATACCTTCAAAAAAGAAAAATTTACCTCTTTACCATTCCAAGCTTCTTCTGGTAACTCTCCATCTAATGGAACAGATGGACCACGGTTAATCAGATATGCTGCAGTGTTAACTACATCTGCCCAAAACATCTTTGGTAATCCAGCTTGTATCCTCATACTTGTAGCACGTTTATTCAGAGTTCTATTCATGCGTTCTGCAATGCCATTCTGTTAAGGTGTGTTTCGAACAGTCTTCTCTATTCTAATTCCATTTTTTGCACAATATTTTTTGAACTCATTGTCCTCATATTTCCCTCTATTATCTGATCTCAAGCACTTAATTTTCAGACTTGTTTCAGTCTCCACCAAGGCTTTCCACTTCTTAAAAGTAGTATAAACTTCAGATTTATGTTTCAGAAAATAAACCCATACCTTTTTCATTGAGTCATCGATAAAGGTAACATAGTATGATGATCCTCCAAGAGATGAAACTGGTGCAGGTCCCCACACATTTGTATAAACCAACTCCAACTTTTTTTACTTCAATTTCCTGCCATCCTTTGAAAAACTAACCCTCTTTTGTTTGCCAAAGATGCAATCCTCACAAAAGTCAATGTCCACCGATTTTAAATCTAACAGTTTCCCCTTAGATGCAAGTACCTTCATCCCTTTTTGACTCATATGCCCAAGCCTTTGGTGCCACATATTTGAGTCTTCCTTCTCACCAGCAACTGCTACTGCATCCCTACTGTTCGTAGTTATGTAAAAAGGTGCCTTCTTTTTTACCAAGAGCACCAACCATGGCTCCTTTGGAGATTTTCCACAAACCACCCATGAAGGTTACAACATGACCTTCATCATCAAGTTGTCCAATAGAAATCAAATTTCTTTTCAAACTAGGCACATGTTTGACATTCTGTATCTTCCAAACAGATCTATTTGGCAACTTGATTGTTACATCCCCTTTACCCACAATCTTCAAAGGTTCATCATCAGCTAGATAAACATTCCCCGAAATCACCACCAATGTAATTGTCCATGATTTCCCTCTGTGAAGTAGAATGAAATGATACCCCAGAATCTAAAATCCAAGATTCAAGAGGGCTGTCAATACTCAAGATCAAAACATCATAAATCTCTCATGTTGCATCATTAGCAGACTTCTGATTTTGATCACCTTTGTTCTTATTCAATATCGAGCAATCTCCCTTTAGATGTCCCTTCTTTCCACAGTTCCAGCAACTCCGTCCCTCTCCAGTTCTTGACTTACTTCTGTGTTTGGATTTTGATCTGTTGTGATTTCTAGTTTTTTCCTACTGATCTTCCTCTAGCTTCTGTATTTAGCGCAGAACCTGATGTTTCCCCTAATTCCCTCCTACAAATTTCTTCACTCAGAATTAAATCTCAAATATCATTGTAATTCAACTTTTCTTTTCTTGAAGAATTACTTATTGTCGTTACAGTACCATTCCTACTTCTGGCAAACTAGATAAAAGAATCAAAGCCCTAACCTCATCATCAAATTCGATAGATACAGGACTCAATTGTGTTATCACAATATTGAATTCGTTCAGATGCTCACCCACCGAAGCACCTTCTGTCATCCTCAGATTAAACAATTTACGCATCAAATAAACTTTATTTGAAGCAAAGGGTTTTTCATACATGTTTGAGAGTGCCGCCATGAGACCCACTGTAGTCTTCTCATTCGCTATGTTAAACGCAACGTTACGAGACAACATTAGCCGAATAACACCTAGCACTTGGCGATCAAGAAGAGTCCACTCATCATCTTTCATCTTTTCTTGTTTCGTCCCTAAAAGGGGCTCATACAATTTTTTCTGATACAGCTAGTCTTCAATCTGCATCTTCCAAAAGCCGAAATCCGTGCCATTGAATTTATCGATTCTAACCTTTTCGTCTGTAGCCATCGCTCCCACTCAAACCAATGCTCTGATACCAGCTGTTAGGAATTGACCCTTACTAACCAAGATCGGTAACACACGAAATAACAAACAAAGAAGAAAAATGAAACACACAAATCACACACATAAGAATACAAGGATTTATATGGTTCACCCCAGAATAGGGCTACGTTCACGACTGCTACAGTTTTTCACTATGATCAGAAAAATACAACTCTCTCTTAACCTAAAAGAGGCGCCCCCTCATCTATTTATAAGTATAGAATTAGAGTTATACGAAAGCACATGGGAATTACGAAAGTATCCAAAACCCCCCATTGGACCTAGTGTTCGAGTGAACAATAGAGTTGAGTGAACAGTACTCATCAGGGTCCACCGAACCAACATGTTTTCCCCTTTTTGCCTCACAATTTTTTCTATAATATTCTCATAACATGTTTATTTGCCTTTAATTTGAACATAAATATAATGCAATCTGGTTTAATACACTTACCCATTACCATGACTAGCTATAGTGGGGACTTTGGTGGATTGAGATTTTCCATTACTTGCGCCAACATGCTCTGAAGTCCAAAAATTTACTTTTGCATCTCCTCACGTTGTCTTGCATTCTCGGCCTCTTTTATTTGTTGCTCTTCTTCTTTTTTTTGTTGCTCTAATTATACTCAAGGTTAGTTGCTTTAAGTTTAATTATGGTTAATAATTTGCTTTTGGCATTTAGTTTCATCTGTTGGCTTTTTTTTGTGGGACTCATGGAATTCCTTTTTTTATGTTTAAAAGCCAAAGTTCTTGGTCAGTTTTCAAAATTAAGAATATGAATTGCTGGTGGTTATCCACACACAAGTTGTGTGCTATGAAATCTACAAACGAAACAGTTTAGATTTTTTTTTTTTTTTTTTTGGAAAAAAAAAATTGAAGCAATTTGACTGCTCCTATGTAATTGTTCATGTGTGGGCATTTTTAGAAGTTAAAAAAATAAATAAATAAAGGGTTTCAAAGCTTCACCAACTTTAGTTGTAGGCTTTATATAATAAATAATATAGATAATTATGAAATGTTTTGGAAGTATTGGTCATACATCCATAGCTTGATACTTTCCATAAAAATCAACTAGATTGCTCTATTTCCAGGTGCTTACCCGCTTGCCCTTTTTAGCATGAGAGAGAACTTGCAAGATTATGGGCAAGGGTGTCTATTTTTGGTTCGTATCTAAATCTTTATAATTCTTTATTAGTCATCGCCTCTTTTTGGTAAATAAAATGTCCTTGTCCTTCGCTCAAGGGAGGATTCAAGCCTATGCTTGAGTCTGCTATGTTATCTATGCTTGTTTTCTTTGCTATAAGAGATTACTATGACAATAGTAATTTTTTTTCCCCTTTAAGCTTCCTTTTGCTATGGTCCATTTTAAGCATGCAGTTCTAACTTGTCTTTAGTTGCATTTCCATTCATTTTGGTTTTCACTGTTGGATCTGGTGTGAATAATCTTTTCTGTTTGTAGGTTCGGGAAAGGGAGAAGCATTGAGAGAAATTCTATTGGAATACCTTTTTGGCAAATCTTGTTCAGGAACTACGGGCATGATTATATAGTATTATGATATTCTTGACCAGATTGTTACAGATTTATAATGTTGATGCCATTGGATGTTCGTTGCGAAGCTTGTTCTAAGTTTTGTAATTATGAACCTCCTAGTCAACCAAAAAGGAAAAAAAAAAAATTATAATTTGTATTGATACATTGATTAGGCACTGATGCCTCTACTTTAAAAAGTCTAGTAAGATGAGTATTGTCTTTCTTTTTTTCTTTTTATTTTTTATCTGATTTAAATCTAAAAACCCTCAGATTTATTTTGAAGACTGGAAGATTACAAAAAGGAAAAAAAAAAAAATTATAATGTTTGTATTGATACATTGATTAGGCACTGATGCCTCTACTTTAAAAAGTCTAGTAAGATGAGTATTGTCTTTCTTTTTTTCTTTTTATTTTTTATCTGATTTAAATCTAAAAACCCTCATATTTATTTTGAAGACTGGAAGATTAATGAAGCTTTCATTCTAAAAGAATTCAAGACAATCACTGATTTAGGTGATGGACTTGAAGCTTTCGGAATCCTTATATGATTGTCTATAAATGAAGATATAGATTAGGGATATGGTTTCTACTCAAGGACTGGCGCATGGGAGGGACAAACTCCTACCATATATATTTGAGTCAAAAATTGTCCAGGTGCATGGTAAATGCAAATAAAACATAGTTCAAAAGATTACTGACTTGACCTTAAGGACATCATACAAAGAATAGCCAACGTTGAATGACAAAAACAAAAAATAAATTAGAAAAACCTTCAATGAATATTGACCAACTGGTGCAATGTAGGTTATCTTTCCTATAGAATCATGAGGAAGTGCAACATGGTGTTGTGCTAAACTGTTCTCAAAGACAGTCTGCATAATGATTTAACCATGGCAACCTTAGATGAAGAACAACAAAATAAAAATGCCAAACACATATGGAAACAAAAGCTTACAAAAAGGACTTTTAAACTTCTATAAACTAAGTTAAGCATTGTTAAACTTACGGCATATAAGTCTCCCCCTGTTACAAGACCTCCCTCACCTGCCACCGACAGATGACGTTAAACTATAAAGCACCAAGTCTTTCTAGCACAATTGTCTCTAAACAACTAAAGTAAAATGCTCTTTGATTACCTATTTTTTTAGGTTGAAATTCCCAAAGGGTGTCCTTGTCAAGGGCTAGGACAGAGACACCACGAGGGATATACACATCACCAGATCGCTTTGCGATGGTCTTTAGAGGCCTCTACATTGGTTTTAAATAATAAATGGATTGTCAGTGGGTAAATGTCCTCCTTAAGACAGGCTAATAATAAAAAACCCAATTGCAACAAGTTTTTGTTCAGACAACATTCAAGTTGGGATATATGAAGGAGCATATATTTCACAAACCTAAATACCATCAAATATATTCCCCAAGATTCCAGGACCCAACTCCACCGACAAAGGTTGTAATGTCAATGAACAAGTTAAATGTATCATAATACTATATATATGGTATTACCTTGTGTGTTCGTAAAACGGGATCATTGACCGTCAACCCAGCTGTTTCTTCATACACTAAGATGATATATATATATGGGATCTACAAACAAAAACAAGAAGCAGTCACAACTCTCTAGCCCCAGAGCAATTAGTTCGCGTGAGTCACATTCGTTCAGTTAATAAGCAACGTTAAAAGATAAAGTATTACAAAACCCCAAAAAATATGCCTTTTGGGAGGAGAAAAAACAAAAACAAAAAATAATAATAATAATAATAATGAAAAAGAGTCTTTTTTACAAAGAAAAAGATCAAACCTCTTTATATATATATATATATATATTTATGTACATACAAAAAATTGATGAGATACAAATTATTGATCATGCTATCCAAGGATAACCCAGATCATACAAACAGTGATACACAAAATTCCCAACTAATAAGCAAATTATATAAAGCAAATATGGTATACTTGCATGTGTTCTATCATCCCAACTAGAACAAACAAGAATATACATATATATATATATATATATATATGTATCAGTTTTCAATTTTTGCATTGTTTGGAGAGTATGATTTGAGGCCATCCCTTCAAATATTCACTCACTAGGGTTTTGAAAATTAGGGAAAACAAAGGAAAATAGAGAAATTTAGTGTGAGAGAGAGAGAGAGAGAGAGGACCCATACTTGATCTCAGGGTTGTTTGAAGATAGGCGAAGTAGCAGAAAAATGGTGATGGTGGTGCTGTTAGGTGGGAAAAGAGAGAGCAACCATGTAAGTAAAAGGAGTAATGGAACACAAATACACAGAAAGAGAGAGAGAGAGAGAGAGAGAGAGAGAGAGAGAGAGAGAAAGACAGACAGACAAATAGATAGATAGAAATAGAGATAAAATACATACCTAACAATGGAGGCCCAAGTACTTCTCGAAGCGCCTCTGATGCTTGGTCGAAGAAGCGATATAGACAACTGCGATGACAGAGGAGGAGCGACTTTGGTGACTGCAATCGAGCAAGAGAATCAACGATGAGGTGCGTATGAGGAGTGGTACGCGAGATATACAGGCAATTTTTCCCTGCAAAACTGTTTGGTTGGTATTGTCCTTCAATTTATTTAAATAACATTCAAAACGGCGTCGTTTTATTATCTACGACCAAATTATTTTGGTCGCTAAAAATTTTTTCATTCCCTTTTTTTTTTTGGTCTTCCATGTTCGACCTTTGCCGACCAAATTTCAATTTTGGTCACAGAAAATTCTATTTTGGCAACTACAAAATATTAGTTGGCAAAACTCCAACCCTTTGCCTACCAAATTTTAATTTAGTCGCCAAATGAAAACTTTTTGCGACTTAATAAAAGTTAGTCCGCAAAATTGGTCGAGAAAAATGTAATTTTAGATGAACCTTTCCAACATTCTTCAGCCGAGGAATTCACTCCTCCAAATGAGGTCGCCGTCGCCACCCCCGCCAGGGGCGGAGCCAAAGAAGGCCCAGGGGGGTCACGTGCCCTCCCTCAATTTTGAATTTTTTTTGTTTTTGTTTTGTGGTCATATACAAAATGTTTTTTTTTTTTTAATATTTTTTTTGGCTAAGGATTAATTGTATTGTTCATAAGTAGTTATTTGATACTTTGGGAGTACTATGTGGTATTGTTTATGTAGTAGTCTAAACCAATAGTGTAGTGGGAAATTTTATGGATTGAATATAATTAACTCATTACTTTCAGGTAGTTGACAAACTACTTTGTGTGATTTGTGATTTGTGATTTCTCATGCTTTGAGCATCACATAGGCAACATCATATGGTACTCTAAGACTATGTAATAGTTTCCATTCAAAACACATTATTTATAAGCAATATCATCTCTTTAATATTTTTTGTCAAATAAAAATTAAATAGATTTTATAATAATTTGTGCTATAAATGATGTTTTTTTATTTTCTAAAATTAGGAATTTTGATTCATAATTTTTTGTGCTAAAATTACAAACTTACATCACCATCTTGCACCGAGCTATTACACACTATTATAGAATTTTGATTTATTCCTATTAATAATGATTTTTAATTTCTTATGCTTAAATTTAGCTCATAAAATTATTATTATCTTAATGTTGATCATGATTTTTTTTTTTTTTAAATTGTAATTCGTGCTCCCTCTAACTTAATTTCCTGGCCCGCCACCGCAACATCAAGCCCACTTCCAATGGAAGTGAACAAAGCCGAGAAGCCAGCAATGGACGCTCCACCAACTCCAATCCCCAACCCAAGAAGATCAAGTGTGGTCGGCTTGTTTCCATAGAACGACGGTAGACCCACCATCAAATTAGTCAAACTGGTGGCTCAATCAGTGTGGAGCCCTAGCCCTAGCCCTAGCCCAGCCGCTACCGATGAGTGGCTCTCTGGTATCACCACCACAAGGCTTACAGTTAGATGTATCAGCAAAGACCGCCGGTGGTGTCGGCGATGGTGGCAAGGACATACAAAACGACTTGAGAGATTGAGATTGATGACCCACAATTAGGGCCTATTTAGTGAATACACAATAGGTTTTCTGAAAAGTTAAATAGCTGAATAGGTTTTCAAAGCCAAAAGCTACCAATCTGGATGTGATGTATCTTCTTAATGTACTCTTTCTTTATCTGCATTTTGTTGCATGTCTGTTTTCGTGAATTCCATTCATGTGGGAGATTGTTAGAAATCGCTTTATAAAATCTTCTTTTTTTTTTTCCAACTTTGAGCATTAATTAAGATAGGACCCAAGCGTTATTTTTAACATTTTTAATTGGGTTCATATTTAATGTCGCGTAGTAAATAACATCGTGTATTTGGTTGCTCAAAACCATTTCCGGATGAATAAGAATTCAACGCACATTTTCGTGTTTGTGAAAATGGCTTTAGGTGGGTTTCCAACACATTTGTAAAATATGCTTGCCCCACGTTGGAAAGGCTTAAGGATTTATATGGGTATATAAACTCTAACTTGCCATACTTGGGATGGGCCCCAAGAGGTATCCAAGTTTTGTGGATGGGTAAAGTGGGTTAGATGCATTGGACCCAAAACAAAACACAGGCGAGCCCCACCGCCGTCCGTTCGGTCGAGCTAGGCGTGGATGTGTGGTAGGAGGTTGGATTAAGCTTGTCTAACCCAATACTTATATTTTTGGGCCAAAAACATTTGTATTTTATTTATTTATTTATTTTTGAATTTCATATTCAAAATTCAGAATAAATCTGTCCAGTTTTTTCCTCCACCCGAACAGGTTCATATCTGTTGAATTCCACCCAAACAAATCTGTTTCTATTTCGAACAGGTTTCTACCTGTTGAAACCTATTATAAAAAGCCACATGTTCTTCTATAAATAGCCTGCCATTGCAGCATTTCATTCATCTAATTTTCCTTGAGCATTTCGTCTTTCTTCTTCCCTTTCCATCTTTCTGTTTTCTGCATCTATCTACCATTTAATTTTAGGAAGAAAAAGAGAAAGTCACAACATAGTTTTGGTTCTCCAGACTTGAGTTTGTAGTGCTGTAAACCAAGATAGTAGTCGTTGCATCTTGGGAAGTAGATGCTGTTAAAACTCGAAGCAATGAGCGAGAGCGAAATCTACTTTAAAGAGATTCTGTACAACACAAGTCTCGACTTAGAATTTTTGTAAGCAATTAATTCGGAATTTAATTTATTATTTTCCAGATTATTTATTTATGTTTTGTTATTTATTTTATTTATAAATTTAATTTACGAACACAACCAGTGAGGTGCTAACAATCTCCACTATTTATGTAGAGGGGTTAAAACAGAGCACCAAACAAGTACAATGGATTCCAATTGTCCATTGCTAAATTTTATCTATTTTATTCTCTCTATACATAATACACATTTGGAGCACACTAAAACACACATTTTAACACAATTTAGCTAATCCATTGGAACACCCACATATAGCCCAAAGCAGTTATTTCTAAACAGAAAATAAATGCACAATTGATATTCAATCAACATTACATTTCCTCATTTTTTTCAATTAATTATCCCAATTAATTAAACAATGTAATTAGGTCAATTCCCATAATTAACATTTCAACCCTTAGGTCCCATTTTCATCAATGACTTAACATTCATTCCATTTCTCTATGCCAAACATGCATCTAGGTTTATTATGAATAAACCCCAACTTTTGTAAAATTACACAAAAGCCCCCAAACTTTCACAAAATTACCAAACCAACCCCAACATCTCAAAATGCCAAAATTTAAAGACAAAACCCATAGAGAGGAGTAGGATATCCCTACCTCGAAGTTTGAGCCAAAAAGAAGATGAAGACCCGAAGACCAACGTGCTCCAAATCCAAACTTTTTCAGATTAAAACAAAGCTCTCAGTGCCCTCTATCTTATTAACAAAGGCCCTAGGCTAGATTCACACTCTAGGGAGATCAATTCTTAGAGAGAATATAAGTGTAGAGAGAGAAGGTCTCGGATCTAGGTTTGATCAAAAAAAAGAAGTGAAAAAGTGAAGTTCAAAATCGCTACTGTCCGCTGATATAAAACACGCTCGCTCGAGCGAAAACTTGGTCGCTCGAGCGACCAGACACAGAAAACTCTCGCTCGAGCCAAGAAGCTCTTGCTCGAGCCAAAAACTCAAAAGTGCGCTCGAGCGAAAGAATGCTCGCTCGAGCCAACAACTCGAACCCTCAGGTCTGCAACCAGACGCACGCTCGAGCGACAGACCTCTCGCTCGAGCGAAGAGCAAACCAGACCGCTCGAGCCAAGAAACACAACTCTCAGGTCCAGAACCAGGTGCAAGCTCTCGCTCGAGCGAAGCCACTCTGGCTCGACCCACCAGACACAACTCAACTCTCGCTCGAGCGACCAACTCCTCGCTCGAGCGAAGGTTCAAAAATTTTGGCAGCAACACTAGGCTCCCAAACACAACCAACCTGAAACCAACCTGCCCAACACATCCTATAACTCAAAATACAAAGTAAAGAGGATGCAACAAGATAATAAACAACTACCAACATCCACGGACACATGTCCGGATCACTGTACAACAAGGGTAAACCCGGGATCGCTATAAAACGTGCTCTCATGTTCCTCACCTGATCACTTTCCATCTAATTGGCAGACCATAAGGAATCAAAATAAAATTTGAGAAGTGTAAGGTGTAAACCATTTAACTTTTCTTTTTCTTTTTTTGCTCAATTAAGCAAAAGATAGAGACACAGTGACGTAGCTGACCACACGTCACATGTACGTAGCCCTCACCATGGAACTCATTAATTTGGCATCTAAAAAAAAATGAAAAAACAAAAACAAAAGTTAAAATCAACAAAACATCATCCAGCCGATTCAAAACTAAAGAAATGTTATATCAAGCTGCTACACTTGCTTAAACACTTGAATCTTGAGCTAAACAGAGCTGTAAAACTAACAAAACAGTGAAAGCAAAAACACTTGCTAACCCACCGATTAAAGGCATACTGATTCTACTTACATCGCTAATTTACTTCTTTACATTCTTTATTTCATTACACTATATAAAAAAATGTGACTCTCATTACACCAATTATACTACCAAAACTAACCCTAATCTAAAAACTCTTCAAAACTCTTTTAATTTTGTCTCCTTATACCGATAGCTTTTGGTAATACAATGTTAAAGAATTAGAATTATTCCAGTGCTATATTACCAGACAAACTTTTTTCAGCCATTTATTCTCGTTTGATTAGATGATTTTGCTTTACTTTAACAAGAAATTAGTTGGAACCCATTTGTAAAGTGCATGTTCAATGATACATAACTATACAAATTAGATTATTCCAGTGTCATGTTGTCGAACTAAAATAAATTTGTCCAGCCACTTGTCAATTTACGTGCGTTGTAGATTGTCTGCATTGTTATCGCATTAAAGATACCCTTTCATTTCAATGTAATAAACATCTCTTTTAATCGTATCATACTCTTTGACATGTCAACTAACAATGATGTTTCCTCCTCAGATAATCTACTAACAAATGAATGTCATTCAAGATGTTCAACAACCAGATGATTGTACTTGCATTGCTGCAATGAATAGAAGCATAATCCTTCCAAATAACTATACAAATTAGATTATTCCAGTGTCATGTTGTCGAACTAAAATAAATTTGTCCAGCCACTTGTCGATTTACGTGCGTTGTAGATTGTCTGCATTGTTATCGCATTAAAGATACCCTTTCGTTTCAATGTAATAAACATCTCTTTTAATCGTATCATACTCTTTGACTTGTCAATTAATAATAATGTTTTCTCCTCAGATAATCTACCAACAAATAAGTGTCATTCAAGATGTTCGGCAACCAAATGATTGTACTTGCATTGTTGCAATGAATAGAAGTATAATCCTTCCAAATAAAATATATATATATATATAACTGGAAATGCAAGGTAATAAGCAACCGAACAAATTAAAAACGTTCGATCTTGAGTTACCGAAAATGCATCTTTTATTCGACAGTGGATTACTGGACATATATTTTTTGTTCGGCAATGTGATTCCGAATTATTTTATTTTGTTCGATTTTGGCACACCAAACAAAAGTCAAAGAACTCTCTCAAAAACGAAACAAAAACCTACCAAGCAAATAAAAAAAAACTCATCATTTCACTGTTTTTTTATGGTTCTTCACCACTGTTTCTTTATCTATTGTTTGTTTCTATGATTAAAACATTATAATTCTCACTTTTTGAAAAAAGATATGTAGTAGGGAAGAAAAAATGAGAAGTAAAGAAAAGTAATAGGGATTGAACACCAATAGGTGTAAAGAGATAACAAAATATATTTAATCTTAGTCTTTTGTCCTTAAAAATAATTTCACATGCATAAATAAAAATAAAAAATAAAAAATAAAAAAAAAAAACACACACACACATTTTATATGGAGGGTATAAAGAAGGGATGGCAATTTGAACCCAACCCGACGGGGACCCGACTCCCTGATCCCAATTAGAATGGGTTTTTCCCAAAAAATACACTCGACTGGCCGGGAATGGTATTTGAAAATGCATCCTCGATAATGTTCGGGCTAAAAACGGTGATACGTTCCCCAATCCCAGCCCCGGTCGCCGCCCCCATTTCCCCGAACTGAAATCATTATTATACCCCTATATATATATACCAAACCCTAACCTCCGTTTTGTCAATGCTTCAAGTCACCAATTTTCTATCCCATTATCACTGTTCATTATTTTATTTAATTTTTTATTACTGTTTCATTCTTTCTTCATCATTGAGTTATAGGTTGGGTTTGGGGGAGTACGGATTTTTCATAGTATATCGAAAATGGGGTTGGCTCTGCAACTAGTTTGTTCTATGGTGAGATTGTTCGCCATTATAGTTGCTTTGGTTGTTCAAGGATCTACAAGTGATTAATTCTTTGATTTCCATTGTTTTTTGTTTTTGTTTTTGTTTTTTTTTTTTTGGGAGGGGGGGGGGGGGGGGGAATTTTCGGGGTCGGAGAAACCCGATCCCCATTAGGAGGCAAGGGTGGTGATAGATTTCCCGTCAGAAATCAGGGCTTGGGACGGAAGAATTTTCACCATCAAGAGTCGGGGACAGGCAGTGTGCCCCACTCCGGCCTGATGCCATCCCTAGTATAAAGAGATAAATGAGTGCTGGTATAAATAAAATCACTCAAAAGAGATACTTATCTTCTAAGTCTTGACTCTTAACCCATGAAAGCAACATTCTGATTAAAGACGTCATGAAATATTAAGGTTCGGCTATGTTCATTGCATTTTTTCCTCTGTTTAATTTTTCTTCCACAATCACTCTTTAAATTCAAATTTTTAAAATAATTTTAAAAATACAATAAATTACCCGTCGTCAAACACGTGGCTAGAGTGATAATGGATGTTTCAATCATATTCCACAAAGACTCTTTTCCGTGTGTTCGTAGCAATGTGGTTTGAATGATTCAATTGTTAATGATGGATTAGTTGATTGTGAGGTTTTGCCAATTGCATACTAGTGTATTCCCATGTGATGTGCTATTGGATAATGGCTTTTGGGTCTTGCTTTGACGCAGATTATAAAGCTCAAGTCCCCTTTTATTTTGAGTTTAATTTTGTTCACACACTATTAAAGTATAGATAAAATACAAATTTTAATTAATTCAAAATAATAAAATTTACAATTTTAAGTAGTGTACATTTTTTAAATGAGAAGCTCACAATTTTAGACCAATCAAATTCTGTGAAAGTGTGAACCAATAGTTTATTTTTTACTTTCATCTTTGTTGGTCCCATCTCCTTGATGGTTTCCACGGTAGTGCTTAAGTAAATGATGTATACATTTAAAAGTTTCTCACCTATTCTTTACTTTCCAAAAAATAAATAGACCATAGAAGACCAAGACTTCACTCTTTTTTTTTTAGGTTTTTAGACCACCAAGACTTACTGTACCCAGCAACAGGATCAACAACTCGGGTCAACTGATGAGGTTTTACAAGTTTTACTTCAGTTAAAAATAACAAAAGTTACCGTCCATTGAAGAGTAGTGCAAGCCGAAGGGCTTTTACCTCGATGGCATCACCCAATCACTCTCATACGAGAGGTTGTGGGTTCAAACCTAGCCTTACAAATGGTTAGATATATACCTTATATTTTGGTCCTCACAAAAAGAGTTATGCAAGAATTTTAGAAGCAATCAAAGCATATTATACATTGAAGACATACCTCACAACTTCCAAGGAATGTGGATGACCTTGATTCTTTTGCATTCCTCTTTGATGTAGAACAACTTTATAAAAATATTGCGAGGCAGCTTAAGAATTAAGGCTGTAATGGGTTTAAGGCATGAATATATTATAGGATTAGGGTTCTTAAAGCCAGAAGACTTTTAGGGTTTGAAGATTGGAAAGAACTAAAAATTAATTTAGTTATTACTAGACTTCTTAAGTTTACCTAGATTGTGACTTAACACTATAAGATCTTGAATTTTTTATTATCATAACCAGTCTACTCCAAAACCTAAATAAAGCCTTTTATAATAACCCAACAATGTAACCCTTCGTAAAATGATTCATGGGTGACTACTACCACATATGTCTAGCAATTTAAAATATTACAAAAATACCGCTAACTTAATCCACTTTTCATTCATTTTTCCCTTCACTTTTCTTCTTTTCTTTCTACAAATCACTCCTCAAATCTAAGATCCAAACAGTCTTCGGGTTTTAAAAGGAAAAAGAGCTAAAATTAGTTCGTACATAAGTGATAAAGCTTGCCAAACTTTCAATACACAGCCTATTTAAGAGTAAAACAATGAGTAATTTAAGGTTTTGATAATCAAATTGAATGCCAATAGGTAGAGGACGGGGTTAGTATTGACTTAAGCTTGACTTGTCAGGGTTTTGGGGCTATAAAGGAGGTATAAACAAAGGCTGTGACACTAACAAAGAAGAAGAGAGGATCGTTTTTACCCTCACAACAGCCAATCAAATTCACACAAACAAACTCTCTAATTATTGTAAAATCAACTCTATTGAAGAATGATAGGCTACTAGACTGACTAAATCCTACAAAGACTTAACATTAAACAACAGCCAATCAAATTCACACAAACAAACTCTCCCATTATTGTAAAATCAACTCTATTGAAGAATGATAGGCTACTAGACTGACTAAATCCTACAAAGACTTAACATTAAACAACAGCCAATCAAATTCACACAAACAAACTCTCCCATTATTGTAAAATCAACTCTATTGAAGAATGATAGGCTACTAGACTGACTAAATCCTACAAAGACTTAACATTAAACAACAGCCAATCAAATTCACACAAACAAACTCTCCCATTATTGTAAAATCAACTCTATTGAAGAATGATAGGCTACTAGACTGACTAAATCCTACAAAGACTTAACATTAAACAACAGCCAATCAAATTCACACAAACAAACTCTCCCATTATTGTAAAATCAACTCTATTGAAGAATGATAGGCTACTAGACTGACTAAATCCTACAAAGACTTAACATTAAACAACAGCCAATCAAATTCACACAAACAAACTCTCCCATTATTGTAAAATCAACTCTATTGAAGAATGATAGGCTACTAGACTGACTAAATCCTACAAAGACTTAACATTAAACAACAGCCAATCAAATTCACACAAACAAACTCTCCCATTATTGTAAAATCAACTCTATTGAAGAATGATAGGCTACTAGACTGACTAAATCCTACAAAGACTTAACATTAAACAACAGCCAATCAAATTCACACAAACAAACTCTCCCATTATTGTAAAATCAACTCTATTGAAGAATGATAGGCTACTAGACTGACTAAATCCTACAAAGACTTAACATTAAACAACAGCCAATCAAATTCACACAAACAAACTCTCCCATTATTGTAAAATCAACTCTATTGAAGAATGATAGGCTACTAGACTGACTAAATCCTACAAAGACTTAACATTAAACAACAGCCAATCAAATTCACACAAACAAACTCTCCCATTATTGTAAAATCAACTCTATTGAAGAATGATAGGCTACTAGACTGACTAAATCCTACAAAGACTTAACATTAAACAACAGCCAATCAAATTCACACAAACAAACTCTCTATGAGGAGTCCTTTGGTAAGCTCTTCACAACCCACACCACCAAGTTCCTTGGCCTAAAAAGTAGAACTGGCATATGGCCTGCTTCTTCTTTTGGCAAAGATGTTATCGTAGGAATAATAGACACTGGAATTTGGCCAGAAAGCGAGAGCTTTCAAGACAAAGGGATGTCACCAGTGCCAGAGAGATGGAAGGGCAAGTGTGAAAATGGCACAGATTTTGGCCCTTCAGCCTGCAACAGGAAGCTCATTGGTGCTCAGTCTTTTAGCAAAGGACTCCATGCTTCAGGTAAAAAAATTTCCAAGGAAGATGACTTCAAATCAGCAAGAGACTACACTGGTCATGGAACCCACACCTCGTCCACAGCAGCGGGTACCCATGTACTTGGTACTAGTCACTTTGGGTACGCTAAAGGCACAGCCAGAGGTATAGCACCAAATGCACGTATCGCCATGTACAAGGTCCTCTGGTCAACAAGCACAGAGGAGACTGCAGCTACTGATGTGCTCGCCGGCATGGATCGAGCTATTGCTGATGGGGTGGACATCATGTCTTTGTCTCTGGGATTTACACAGACATCTTATTTCAAGGATGTCATAGCTATGGCATCTCTTTCAGCAATAGAGAAAGGAATTGTTGTTATCTGTGCGGCTGGAAATGATGGAGGTCCAAACACAACATACAACGGAGCACCTTGGATCACGACGGTAGGTGCTGGCACTGTTGACCGAAGTTTTGCAGGAAAAATGCACCTTGGAAATGGAGCAACTGTGGAAGGAACATCATATTTCCCGGAAAGCATATATATTACTGACACACCTTTGTATTATGGGGAACGTAATCGAAGCAAAGCAACATGCAACCTTTATGCTTTGGATCCAAAAGAGGTTGACAGTAAGGTAGTCCTATGTGATAATAGCGGCAACATTAGTGTCATTAAACAAATGATAGAAGTTTTTAGGGCAGGTGGATATGCAGGCATCTTCATGGCAGACCATGTTGCTTTAGGTCCAGCTGGGTCCTTCATTCCTAGCCTGGTTTTAAAGACTAGTTCCGGGACTTCAGTCAGAGAGTACGCAACCAAGGCAAAAAAAGCGATGGTGAAGAGCATGAGGTTCATGATGACAAGCTTGGGCACAAAACCAGCTCCTCAAGTTGCCCGTTTTTCTTCTAGAGGACCTGACCCAATTAGCCCAGGTGTTCTAAAACCAGATATTCTCGCTCCTGGGGCAGATATTCTGGCAGCAGTTGCACCCAATAAACCTTTCACTTCAATAGGCAACTACGATTTGGTCACAGATTATGCACTCTACTCAGGAACATCAATGGCAGCACCCCATGTTGCAGGAGTTGCAGCATTACTGAAGGCTGTCCACCAAGATTGGAGCCCTGCAGCCATAAGATCAGCCATCATGACCACCGCAAATTTAGTTGACAATACAGGCACAACCTTCAAAGACCAATGGACTGGACTCCATGCCACACCTCTAGACTTCGGGGCAGGCCACATCAATCCCAATAAAGCCATGGATCCAGGCCTGATATATGACATGGGTTTCCAAGATTATATTGAGTTCCTGTGTCGCCTCGGCTATAGTAAGAAGCAGATGAGCGCTGTCCTCAGAAGAAATGAGTGGAGTTGCAGCCAAAATCCCATTGACCTCAATTATCCTTCTTTCGTCGCCATATTTCCCAAAGGAGCCAGCTCCATAAAAGAAAAGAACTTCAGCAGGGTTGTGACAAATGTGGGAGATGATACAGCCACTTATCAAGCGGTTTTAGTTGTTCCTACTGGAATGAGGATCAAAGTAGAGCCCAGTACTCTCACATTCACAAGCAAATTTCAGAAGCAAAGTTTTGCTATGAGTGTAGAGGTCGATAAAGATGCAACAAACATAACGAGTGGCTATCTCAAATGGTTTGATCAGGCTAACCACATAGTATCAAGCCCCATTGTAGCCATTTCTGGCTGACATCCTCAGCATAGGTATTCTACCCAACCAAAATATGTTAAACCAATATTCTGATATGAATCTCAATAAAGGATCAAAACATTATGCAATTATAAATTAGAAGTGTGAAACAAGGCCAGATTGTTTTATATACACCTTAAACAAGCTAAAATATTCCAATAAAATGTCAATATAAGCTCTTAGGAGATGCGGTTGTATGGCATAAAATATATGCAGGCTGCAGCTTACCAAAAATTATGAATTGAAAGTTTGTCAATGATTCATCTTTTTTTTTTTTTTTTTTTTGGTGAAGATTGTAGGATTTTAGTTTGTTAGTAAAGTTATATTGCGACTAAAGGCGTAGCCACTGCTCCATCAGCTCGAATTCCTCAACTTTTGCCTCACCACAGCTTAAGGTGTAGCTACAAGACCACTAGGCCAAACCCAAGTCTTGTCGATGATTCACTCAGAACTAGTAACTCCAACAGCCAAAAGCAGAATGTAAGCTTTGGGAAAATCAGTAACAATCAACTCCAATAACAAAAGGTAGAATATCAGTTACAAGGAAATCAGTAATAATATGCAAAAAATTGTATTCCTGCAACTAGGAGTAGACAACCCATAACTTAGTCGTCTGTGCAACAAGATTTAAGTTCTGTTAGGTTGTATCCATTTACAGAGTGGGTTTGCTTACTTGTATTTTCATAATCGTACAATTTTATCACCCTCCTTTTTTACCTCTTACTCAACAAATTTATGCACCATGCTTTGAGCATCTCCAACCCACTAGGCATACAATGCTTGTTATTTAAAATGCCTAATGTAACTCACTTTTTTTAACAGCAATACACTAGGCATATGATTAGACATTTTGGCTCAGCTCACATTCACTAGTTACATGTAATCTTCAAGGCTAGGCAAAATGTATTTAATCATTAGGATTATTTCCATCCATCTTTGTTATTGACGCGACATTCTATAAAGTTAATGAATAGCTAAAATAAAGAGCATGATTGGAGTAGAAACATAAAACAGTTGACTGGCAAAATAAAATGTATACTTTACAGTCATATTTAGATAGGTAAAATGCCTACTCACGTTGGAGAGATGCTCAGTAGCTCATCAGTTGAGTAAGCTCCTCCAGAAACTACAACAGAACATGATTCATGGGAAAAAGAAAATACTGATATTAGTGCGTACTTCTTGGCATGTAAATACCAAAAGCTCGCTCACTCTATTATGCAAGTAAATAATGCAAAGCAACTAACAAAACACCACCCAACCATTTGATAATCCAGAAACAGAGGAATGCTTTCAGATAATCCAAAAGCACTTGTGTTTTTGGTGCAGCTTATAATGCTAAAAGTTGATAATCTAAAAACAGAAGTTAAAAGCACGACTCTCATCTCAGCTTTCAAATGATCAGGTTTTTTTTTTTTTTTTTAAGCTTATTTAAGTTAGGGCAAATTACACAAATAGTCTCTATAGTTTGGGACTTGTGTCACTTTGATCCTAGACTTTTCAATTGTGATACATTTGACTCTGAATTTTGAATCTTGTTCCAAATAAGGACAATTGAAGATATCATTAGATTTTTCAAGGGTAAAATTGTCAATTTGATAAAATATAAACTAATTTGACAAAAATAAATGTCAATGCCTCCTCCACCGCCGCCACCGTGAGACTGCGCGATGACAGAGGAGAGATCACGATGAGAGAGAGATCGCTGGCATGAGATCGTGGTGGGTCGATCTCACGATTGCGCGATGAGTTCTGGTTCCAGATCCGGTTTTGCAAAGGTTGGGGGTGGATTGGCAATGGGTTGGCGGCAGTGGCGGAGGGTAATTGATGGGAAGGGCGAGGACTGGCGGAGCGCTGGCCGGAGGAATCTGGTAGGGGTGGCCGCCGGTTACAGAGGGTGGGGTTGAAAGAGGAAGAGAGAGGGCAGATGGAAAGAATTAAGGCCATGTTTGGTGAATTTAGTTTGATGAGATTAGTAGCGAGAGCATCTTCAACGGTAATAGGCATTTTACCTATTTAAATATTACTATAAAGTATATATTTTATTTTGCCTATCAATTATTTCATATTTCTACTTCAACCATACTCTTTATTTTAGCTATTTATCTAAATACTATTAATTTTAGAAAATGTCACATCAGCAACAAAGATGGAGAGAAATGATCCTAATGATTAAACTCATTTTGCCTAGCCTTGAAAGCTAGCTACATGTAGCTAGTGAATATGAGTTGAGCTAAAATGCCTAATCATATGCCTAGTGCATTGGAGTTGAAAAAAATGAGTTATACTAGGCATTTTAACTAACAAGCATTATATACCTAGTGGGTTGGAGATGCTCTAATAATGTAGGAATTATTAGTGAAAAAATTAAATAAAAATGTGTTATTTTGATGATAGTATAGTATGGGGTTGTTTGGGATGACCTAAATAAGTATATTTTTTGTCTTTTTATAAAAAGATGTGTAGGAAAGTAGAGAGGTGATGTAATGGAAAAAAATTAAAAAGATAAAAAAATAGATTATTTTTGAGTTGCCAAACTTGGCCTAAATGATTATTTAAGAGATTGTTAAATTATTTTTATCCAAAATAAATATAAATGTTTTTATATTAAAAATATTAAAATATAAAAGTGCCTTAGTAAAAAAAATAAATTTTTTATATAAAATAGATTCAATTTTTTTATTATTTTTCTAATCTCATTCAAAATCTAACCAAGTTAATCTCCCTATTGAGGGGGTTTACTAAGTCCTTTAGATTATCAGTATGTCCTCCCATTTTACTATCAAACATAATGTGGATGAACCCACAATCATCCATAGTAGTCCAATTCAGCCACTCAAATTGTGAAACAAACATGGCCTAAGGGTAAATAGGTAAATTGATTCATGGTTTTCTAATTATTTTTTAAAATTTTCTGTATTATGTAATTATTTTGGAAAAAATTATAGGTCTCAAATTTTCTACCAAACAAATGATTAAATGTCTCACATGGGTGTGGGGTTCACAAAATTGCGAACCCTACACCCATATGAGACATTTGATATTTTTTGGTAGAAAAATTAATATTCCTAACAATGCCTAATTATTTTTTCAACAATGCTACCTCCACTAAATTTGGAATCGTCTGAATTTGTTCATGTTGATCATCTAAATTATAAGGTGATGACCATGATAGATGGTGGAAAAATCGAGTCGTCCAACTAACACAAATTTAACTAATTCAAGCCACAACAAATTTAATAAATAAATCATTTCACTTGTTTTTTTTATTCATACTTGCTTTGCAATTATTCCTCCAATTTTAAATTTTTAATCAATTTGCTTCTTATGATTTCTGAAATAATATTTTTTAATGTCTAATGGTATTTTCCCTTCACTCATAATAGTATTCGGAAAAGTCTAAACACCGGTTCTGATCCACTTAAAAAATTTTGGTAGGTAATTTTATCACGGAAATTAATTTGTGTATTGTAGAGTTTACAAGGGATCCATATAAAGTGTGACAGAAATTAATTTTTGAGTAATTTCTAAATTGATAAAGATGAATTTGTAATATTACTCATAATATTCCCTCCGTTCTACAATAATAATCTTTCTAAAGATTCTATTTTTTTTATGAGACATATAATTATTGTTTTAAAGTCAATCAAAATATATTAATTTAGGACAAGGGGTGTGTCACGACCCAAACCCGCCCCTATAGATTTAGTATCGTAACTGACTAATAATCCTTAGATTACCAAAGGCCTCTTGACATAATAATATATAAATAGGAGCTGTGGAAACAAATATAGAAGGTATACAATGTCCATAGAGCTGTGTTAACGTATATGAGACAGAAAACTTTAAAACAACTTATATATATATATATGTGTGTGTGTGTGTGTGTGTGTGACGTCATAGATACGATAGTCTTACGTCATCCATTTAAACAGATAAAGTCAAAAGGAAACTTAGCCCAAGTACAAATAAACAGAACAAAACCAAATAAAGCCTTGACATGGACCTCTCAAAAGGAACCTCCTCGGGAGGCCCGGTGGTTGGCTGACAAAAGAGAATCTTAGGCCGTCAACTCTAGACCTGGTCACATGCCTGATCACCTACATACATACATAGGGTTGGTTTGGGGTGTCCTAAAAAAGTATACTTTTTTGTCTTTTTACAAAAAGATGTGCAGAAAAGTAGAGAGGTGATGTGATGGAAAAAAGATAAAAAGATGGATTATATAGTTCATACCAAACCAACCCATAATATAAATAGTGAGCGGGAGTCTAGTGAATAATAACAAAGTAAAGGGTTTAAATGAACGATCTCTCTAATAGATTCAGAAATCAGAATTCATATCAAAAACAGATATATAATCATATTCTTGTTCAAACTTCATACGGAAATCAGAATTCATACTTAATCATACATGGTACATCCATTAGCATTATCTTGCTTGTTAGTTCCATAAGGAACCTCCAGTACCAGGAACTTATAATATACTTGAGCTACGGTATTGTTACCCCCGGGCAAAAGCCATGAGACCACGGTATTATTACTCCCGGGCTAAGGCCTTTCTTAAAAAGGCACGGTATTGTTATCCCTGGGCCAGGGCCTTGTACTTGTAGACCACGGTATTATTACCCCCTAGTAAGGGCCTTGTGCTAAGGATGCCACAAATATATTTCAAAATTTTGGACAATCATTTATTCATACAAAAAATATCACATTTCAAAAAACTAATCATTTCATAGTATTAGAAAATAATTAAAGTTAAAAATAACTTTACAGTATTATTACTCACAGATGGCTCCACTTCCAGAACAGACAAATTAGATAACTTGTAACGCGTAACCTACACACACATAGCAGAAACACATAATGAAACACACATTTGGTTGATACTTAACTTCTTTCGTTTCATTCTTAGTGTTTTTCTAGGTCTTAGCCTCTTATTGAGTCTTAAACATGGCCTAGGATGCAATGTGAATGCCAAAATGCACTTTGGGACTCTTAACAAAACTTGCTGAAAACAAGGGTCA